GGTTGGAACCTTCTTCGGGCTGTCGTGGGTTGTTTGAAACAGTTTTGGGCCGTCATAGCGATCTTGTGGATCGTCGTGAAGCCCTCTCGAATCGTCTTGGGCCCCGCTTGGGTGATCTTGGAGTCTTTTTGGGCTGTTCGAAGGCCTTCTTAGGTAGTTGTGGGCCCCTCTTGGGGCTGTCTTGGGGGTTCCTTGGGCCGTCTTGGAGCGTAGACGCTTGGAGATGGGACAACGCCGGGTTCCTGCAATAACCTACGGGAAATACCATCCCAGAAATCCCAAGCAACCCACTGAAGTAATAGGGTTTGGGCTTCCTTGACGCCGCATGCTTGACATCACATCCGGAGCCCCTGGGTGTTCCAGGGTCGATGATCGTCAGAGGGAAGAAGATCCAGGGACACTCCAAGCACCCCGACGAAATCACAGGGTTCTTGTTGGGATTATCACCCTAGAAATCATGGGCACCCCAGCGAAATCACAGGGCCTGGGCACCCTTGACGTCGCGCATGCTGCAAAATCACTGGAATGCTTGGGATTTCTGGGGTGTTACTCCATTTCGCTGGGATGCTTGGTGTTGCTGGGATTTTCCCCCCTGCGAGAAAAAACAACTACCGTAGACCCCCCCAACGGTCTGAACCCCAGGAATCCCAAGCATCCCGGGGAATAACATAATCTCTGGGATGAGCACCCTAGAGATCACAACTATCTCAGTGAAATCGCAGGGTGTGGGCTTTCCTGACGTCCGAACCCTGTGAATTCATTGGGAGGCTTGGGATTCGGAGCCCTGGGGTGGTCCGGGGCAGCTCTTTTTGTCGGAGGGACGGAAAGCAGAGGAATCCCAAGCATCCAAATGGAACAAGTGGCACGCGGGCCATGGCTCTCGTACGGAAAAGAACGGGGAGGAGGAGAAGGAGGAGGAGGAGGACGTGGAGAAGGAGGGGGGGAGAGGGGACGAGAAAATGGCGAAGGAGGGCTTAGAGAGGGCCGCAGGAGGGGCTTCAGAGTGCGAACTTGAGGAGGCGCTCAGGGCCACCCCCCACAAGATGGCCCTGGGCTTCTGGGACTAGCACCCCACGAATCCCACGCATCCCAGTGAACTCACACTGCTGGGGCACTTCTGACGTCGCGAACCTTGCGAACTCCTTGTGGGGCTTGGGGTTGGGATTCGGAGCCCTCGGGGGCTTCAGGGCGAGCTTTCTTCGGCGAGGGGGGGGGGCATCCAAGGCACCCCAAGCTGCCCAGTGACATAAGGAGCTTCTGGGATTTCGCGCCCCAGAAATCTGCGAGCACCAGCGTGAAATTCGAAGTCTCGATCTCGGGAGCCCGCCAGGCCACCCTGCGCCGCCCGAACGGGCCCAGGATCGCTTCCCGGACGGTCCCGCGGAACCCCGAAACGGCCCAAGGCCGCTCCAGAACGGCCCATGAGCGCTCCAAGAGGGCCCAGGGTGGCTTCACGACGGCCCAAGAGGCCCCCAAGACATCTCAAGCCCCCCCCCGTCGGCCCTGTGAGCCTCATGTCCTCGACGACCCGTTCTGAACCTTATGAGCCTCCTTGACCCAATTAACACAATGACCCATATTGAAGTCCCATGAAACCTCACACGCCCTAGGAGCCGATCCGCTCAATGGGGCCCAGGAGCGAGTGGCTTCTGTGAGGCCACGGACCCTACGAGCCTCCACGCCTAATGAGCTCATCAATCTGATGAGCCCTCTGAACTCAAGTACGGCTGCGGCCTCTCGGAACCTCATGGTCCCCAGGAGCTGCGTTGCCCGAAGTACCTCTCTTCCACATTCGCGCTCCGAGCTGTTGGTCCCCAATGGCAGCGGAAAGCCCTTCAGACCTCTGACCCAGGGGAGCCCAGGGGTCCTATCAGCCCTGTGTTCCCCATGGGCCCCGAAACTAGATATCAAACATGGCACACAGCTTAGATTGCACCACTGAGATTGCGCCACATAGCTTGCACCACATGTTCCCCAGTCAGAGCTTGCCTCTGTAGGGGTCCTAGCGGATTCGTATGGTTAGGTGAGATTTGCCACCGATTTCGGCGGCCCGCACGGGTGCCCAGGTGCACGGGTGCCCTATAGCCTTATAGCCTTATATAGCTTTCCTGCCCTAGATCCTTATAGCCCCACGTCCTCATAGCCCAATAGTTCTATAGCCCTATAGCCCAGTAGCGCTATAGCCTTGCAGCCCTAGAGCCCTAGAGCCCTTTAGCCCTAGATCCCTATAGCCCTAAGCCCCAGAGCCCCGTAGCCCCATAGCCCTATAGCCCCATAGCCCTATAGCTCTATAGCCCTATAGCCCGGTAGCCCTAATAGCCCTACAGACCTATATCCCTACCGCCCAATAGCCTTATAGCCTTATAACCCTATAGCCCTAGAGCCCTATAGCCCTGTAGCTCTATGTGCCTACAGTCCTATGGCCCTGTAGCCCCATAGCCCTATCCCTATAGCCTTATAGCCCTATGGTCCTTTAGCCCTATCGCCCCTATCGCCCTGTATACTCATAGCCCTATAGCACCATAGCCCCAGAGCCCCGTAACCCCATCTATAGCCCTACAGCCCTATAGCCATATAGGCCTATAGCCCTATAGACCTATAGCCCTGTGGCCCTATAGTCCCATAGTTCCATAGCCCAATAGCCCCGTCGCCCTATAGCCCAATAGCCCTATAGCCCTATAGCCCTAACGAGCGTTTGATTGCGTTTTTTTCTTGGGCGTCATATTGCACCACGTGCACTGCACCACCTACATGGCACCGCATTGCTGGCACCACATGGATCGCTCGACACAGTAAGCTGGAACACACTGCTTTGGGGCCACGCTGGCTGACATACATACACACATACATACACACATGCATACAAGTATACGTTCATGCACGCATGTATACTAACATACCTTCATGCTTGTACACATACATGTACGCATACATAAATGCATACATACACACAATCACACACATGCATGCACACACATGCATAAGTACACACACGCATGCATACACCTACACACGCTTCCATGCACACGTGCATGCCTACCTACCTACATCCATACCCACATACATGCTTGTGTACGTACATGCATACATGCATGCATGCACACACACATATATATATATATATATATATATATATATATATATATGCATACGTTCTTACGCACGTACGTGCATAGTTACAAACACATGTGTGTGCACACAGACACGCATACACGTATACACGCATACACACATACATACGTACATGCACACACACATATCCATACACATGTACACACGTACGTAGTCTATGTATGTGTGTGCGTATCATACGCACACACATCTATACACATACATCTATGTATGTGTAGACCCGCAGGGCCCCAGGGCCCCAGGGTTGGCGCTCGACGTCGCATGGATATGCAGGGAGCTCCAACATGCTTGCAGGACGCATCCAGGCAGCCTAAGTCATCCCCATGGCGTCCTCAGAGACGCCCCAATGGGCCCCAAGACGGTCCAAACGCGCCGCCAGAGCCCCAGTGATGCTTCGAGACGGCCCAAGAGGCCCCCAAGCTGTTGCAAGAGAGCAAGCGGGCCCCAAGATGCCCCAACATGCCACATTCATTGATGATCCAGGAATGTTTCAAGGACTTGGGAGTTCTCTCCTTTCGGGGTTCCGACGCGCCAGGACAGCCCAAGAAGCTTTCAGTATTGCTCCAAGATTGTCCCAAGACGGCCCAAGAGCCCCCTTCGAGAGCCCCAAGAGGGCCCCAAGAGACGTGGTCCGAGCCTCCGGACCAGAAGGATCGAACCTCCATGGGGGAACCGGGGCCCTGTGGGGGCGCCCATACTCTCCTTTCCTCAGGGTCCCAGAGGGCTCCGACATGGCTGCGGAGCGTTCCAGGACGACCCAAGAGGGCCACAAGAGGCACATGATTTTCCTATGATTTAAGCGTTCTCGCCTTTGCGGCCCACGGTCTTGCCAAGATTGTTCCAGAGGCTATGGCTCCCCGAGGAAGCTCCAGAGGCCCCCCAGAAAGCTTCAAGAGGGGCCGAAGAGAAACCCCAGCACCAACACCTCGAGCGCCCAGGGGTGCACATGTCAGTGAACCCGAGGGGGGGTGCGCCGACATGCGCATCCCTGGGTATAGCACCACGCCATGTGTAAACCCATTTCCCGTGGCCTCTGGGGGCCCCCTCGCGCCGGCCTCCGAGTGTTTCTTGGTGGCCCCCGCACGCCTCGGCGGCGACGACGACGAGGACGACGACGACGACGGCGGCGACGACAGCGACGACGACCACGACGACGACCACGACGACAACCACGACGACAACCACGACGACGACCTCCATGTCTTCCAAAAAGGTCTCCAGAGGTCTCCAGAGAAAGTATCCGCGAGCATCCGGGCACCTCCTGAAGCCACCAGTGGCCGAGAAGAGTTTGTTTGATCCCAGACTTACAAACACGTCCAAAGAACGACGGGAACCACGACGACGACGGCGGTGGCGGCGGCTGCATTACGATGGCGGCGGCCAGATAGTGACTCCCCCTTCTGGGGGGTACCCCTCCTCCCTCGCATGTCGCGGGATATCGCTTTCGTCTCCGACTAGATACTGAGCGAGCTTGCTCGATGAATAGAGACGGTTGTTCAGATGGTTGTCCCGTCGTTGGCTCCACCTCCCAACAACCTCATTATCAGCCGCTCGCCAGCCTTATGGGTTTTGACAGGATCAGGATGAGGAGGAGGATGTGGACGAGAAGAGGGCGAGATGACGAGGATGTTAGTGGAGGGGCATGGGGCGAGGAGGACTACATGCACGAGGCGGAGGGTGGATATTCAAGAATGGGTAATTCGCCGGGTGAGCGGTTTGATGGGTGGGTGGTTGGGTGGATGTACGGATGGATGGATGCATCGAGATGGAGTCTGGCAGAGGGCACGACAAGGAGGAGGAGAAAGAGGAGGTGGAGGAGGAGGAGGAAGAGGAGGAGGAGTGAGAGGTGGACACCCTTGCCAGCCCAGGGACGTATGCAGATGGGTAGCTTCCAGAACCACCTTGACAGCTTCCAGCAGCGATGCGGACACATGCTCTCCGCCTCCTCGGTTTTCTCTTCTTGTGTTTGTGTGTTCCTCTCGCTTTCTCTCCCCGCCTCTCTGTTTTTTTCTTTCCCTCCCTCCCACCCCCACTGTGCCCTTCCTGTATGTCCCTTGTCCTCCAACCCCTCCCATCCTCCTGAAATCTTGAAATCCTGAAGGCAGAAAGGTGCCCTCCCTCCTCCTCCTCCTCCTCCTCCTCCATCTCCTGCTCTCCTCCTGCTCTCCTCCTCCGCCTCCTCCTCCTCCTCCTCTTGTTATCCTCCATCTCCTCCTCTCCTCCTCTTCCTTCTCCTCCTCCTCCACCTCCTCCTCCTCCTCCATTCCTTTTCCTTATACATGGCTTCTCCCTGTCGCACCCCGAGGCACATTTTTAGGGCGGGCCGGCCGTTTCGCCTGAGACATCCTCACCACTTATGATTCTGAAGCTTAAAATGGCAACAGCTTGGAAGATGAAGCGCGGGTCGTTTTCAAAATGTGGCTCTCGCCTCAGCGCCGCGCACATTCGTTGTAAACATGTTCAAGGCTTTCACGGATTAAGGGCGGATCGTTTTCAGAATGTGGTTCTCGCTTGAGCGCCGCGCACATTCGTTTGACGAATGTGCAAGAGCCTCACGGATTGAGGGCGGGTCGTTTGCAACATGTGGTTCTCGCCTTAGCGCCGCGTACATTCGTTTTACAAATGTGCAAGAGCATCACATTTTGAGGGCGGGTCGTTTTTCACATTCCGCTCTCGCATTATCGCCGCGCAGATTCTTTGTACAAGTTAGCAATCGTTCCACGGATTGAGGGCGGCTGTTTTCTACATGTGGTTCTCGCTTCAGCGCCGCGCACATTCGATTTTAATATTTGCAATAGCTTCACGGATTGAGGGCGGCCGTTTTCAAAATGTGGTTCTCGCCTCAGTGCCGCGCACATTGTATTTAAAACATGTGCAACAGTTTCGGGGGTTTAGGGCGCCTTTGTTTTCAACATGTGATTCTCGCCATAGCGCCGCGCACGTTCGTTTCAAACAGTTGCAGGGGCTTTCACAGTTCCCCATGGTCAACGCACCAGAAATTGCGTTTTGGAGGGATTCCGGATTAGGCCAGTGTAACAGTTATGTTGATTCGCGGAGTTGAAGTCCCCCAAATTGCGTTCTGGCAAGATCTCCAGAGGACGCAGTAGTCAGGTTGATCCGCGGCGGGGGAATCCCGAGAACAAGGCTCTGGCATGCTTCAAGGTCTTCAAACGGTTGTCTTCCAACGAGGTAGTTCCCTCAATGGGAATAACCGTTGTAAGGGTCCTATGAACATGGAGTTTGGAGGGAGGGTTAATTCCAACATCGTTGATGACTCTTGGGTTTGCACTGGTCCTCCTCCTCCTCCTCCTCCTCCTCCTCCTCCTCCTCCTCCTCCTCCTCTTGGCACCTGTGCCCTTGGGTGACCTCGCGCGCCCCAGAACAACAGGCGGGTAGCAGCCCGTTCGTCACCCCTGTTTGCACGTAGCGGGCCAGGGGGGGAGAGAGTTGCATCCTCGTCGCCACGTCGCGTCCCCCTTGCGGTGGCCGACCTGGTACTCCGCCGGGGCTCGGGCGGGGACGCGGGTCGCCTACGGGCGGCTCATCTGGGGATCCCCACCCGTTTTTCACACGGCCCGGGTGCCCCGCTCGGCGCGTGCGTGGGGGCGGGAGTCGGCCGGGGGGGTGGCGGCCTTTGGCTGGCTTGGGGCGGCACTGGGTGCGTCGTTATCTGAGCCCTACAGGGCGGGCGCGGCTCGAAAAATGGTCTGGCGCTGTGCCTAGGGGTTGAACACGCCGCGGCAAAGCCCGCGCTGAGCGCGCGCAAGGCTGGCGCGCGAGAGGAGCGCGCGCGCGGGCGCGGAGGAACCCGCAGCCGCCCTCCTCCTCACCCTCACCATCACCATCACCATCACCATCATCATCAGTATCCTCCTCCTCCTCCTCCTCCTCCTCCTCCTCCTCCTCCTCCTCCTCCTTCCCTCTCGGGTTGCTCCGCTCCAGCCCCTCCTGGCCCCTCGCTTCCGTCCCCGCTTTTGGGCTGAGCTGGGGCGGGGTGGTCTGATCTGGGGTGGGCGGGGCTGCGTCTGAGTGGGGCCCTGGGGGGACTTTCAGAGCCGTCGCCTCCTGGCGCGCCTTCCCCTCCCCCCTGGCCCCCCCCCCGTCCCCAACGTCCTCTACGGAAGGGGCCCGCGAACGAGAATGGGGGCGTGATGGTGTTGCTGATCCCCGGGCGCCCGGCTCTTGGGTCTCTCCCTCCGTCTCCCTCTCTCTTTCTTTCTCTGTCTCTCTTGTTTCTCTTTCTTTTCTTTTGTTTTGTCTCTCTCTCTCTCTCTGTCTCCCCCTTCTCCTTCTCCCCCTGTTCCTCCTCCTCCTCTTCCTCCTCTTCCTTCTTCTCTTCCTATTTTTCCTTTACCCCCCCCGTCCCGCCCCCTTCCCTCCATCCGTCTTTCCTGGTCCTTTTTAGGTTGGGTTGGGTTGGCTAGGTCCCCTCTTTCTCTTACATTTCCCTTTCCTCCTTCCCAGAGAAGGCTGGGGGCACCCGAGTGGGCCCCTCCACCCCCGGGCGTTGGGGCGATGGCCCCGGGGCCGTTGGCCACGAAGGCGCCCCCTACCAGACGCAGCCTACCATGCGGGAGACTGTTGCCTGCCATCACGGGGGGGGCAGCCGGCGGATCTGGCTGCGTGTCGAAAAAAGGCTATGAGCGGCAGTGGCGGATCTGGCTGACCCCGCGCGCCTGGGAGGTCCCCGCCTCTCGCGGCGCTGCGCCCCGCGCCTGCCGCGCCGCGGCGGGGCGCGCGCACGCCGTCGCCGCCCGACCGCTCGACCGCCGCCGCCGGGATTGTTTTTGTTTGCTATGTTTGGTTCTCTTGGCGGTTTTTGGGAGATGGCTCGAGCTACAGGCCTTTGTCAGAGGCGAAACGAAATACGCAGACCATTCGACAGGAAACAATCAGCCGGATCTGGCGGCAGTGGCGGATCTGGCACTGGCAGAGCACAGCGCGGGACATGAATACATCAAATCACTTACTCAAACGCCTATAGACCAAACAGTCAGTTTGTGCCGTGGCCGGCGTGGAAAGCTGAACGTCTGACAGACCATGTGAAGTCAAAGAGGGAGATCCGATCAGCCGATCAGTTCCTCCTGATCGTTGTCGTCGAGGAGGCCGTGCTCTCGAAGCTGGAGGTGCGTTGGCATGGTCATCGACAGCACTTCAGATCTCCCTCGCCATCGTTTGAGTCGCTGGTGATGTGTTGCTGGTGGCATCGTCTGCCAGATACGCTCCGAGAGTATTTGCGGATCTGAATGCAAAGGCTCGCAGATATTGTCTCAGATTTCACCTTGGCAGAGCAGTCAGCAAGGCCAATTACGATGTCGAGGGCATGATATGCGGGTGCTTCAGCGCGGTCTTTCTCAAAAGTAGTAAGGTCGCAAATGCTCGGTCGATTCATACCATGACACAGCGCTGCGCCACATGATTGGGTTTGGCTGGGCAGCGCTTTCAAAACACAAGCTCACGCTATGAAGCGGGCGTGTCTATTTAAATCGGTTGTTTCAAACATCCGTTGCGCCGTATGTTATGTCCGGCTTTGGGGGCATGGGGCACTTACAGTTGACCAGCAGCGACATCAGCAAGGTGTGCAACGACGGGGGCACATAATGTTTTTTTCGGGCAAGGAGGCGGCATGATGAATGTTGGGTTGATTACATCAAACGCTCTACCGCTGCCGCTTTAGTCCTCACGCATCAATGTGGCGTACACGATTGGGTGTAGGATGCACATATTATAAAAAAACCAGATTGGGAAATGATGCAGGCGCATACCAATGATCGGTGGAGCAAGATGCTCCTGGAGCGGCATTCTTGGCGCTCTGTACCTGCTGAGCGACACGTTGGACACCAGCGAAAACGCTGGAGCGACAACGGGGAGCACAAGTGAGCGGCGCACGCGGCCCAGCGCTTAGCTGGGGCAGACCCGTCTGCCCCACGGGCCATTTCCTGTCCGCTCCTCTCCGCCCAGTGGCGTTCCGCCTCTGAGTGAAGCTCTGCGCATGGAAAAATGCAAGCAGAGGCGGCTCGGCCGGGGCAGGGGAGGGAGAGGGAAAAGGGTGCTGGGGGCGGAGGGCGGGGTCGGTCGAAGCAATCGCGCAGGCGGGCGTGGTCGACGTGGGGGTCGCGGTGGCTGGGCCGGGGTGCGCTGGAACGGGCTGGATTCGGCTGGTTGGGCAGGGGCGGGACGGGCTGGCTGCTTGGACGTGTTCCGATCTCTCTGCTGAAGGCTGCAGGCGCTCGACGTGGTCAATGTCGTAGGTATTTTCTTTTTTGGTCGTCGTGAACGTCGTCGTCGTCGTCGTCGTTTTCGTCGGCATCGTTGTCGTTGTTGTCGTCGCTGTCGCCGTCGCTGTCGCAGTCGCCGTCGCCGTCACTGTCGCAATCGCCGTCGCCGTCGTCGTCGTCGCCATCGCCGTCGTTGTCCCCGATCGTTCAAGGTTGAATGATCCCCGCGGTGTCAGAAACCAACGCCGAAGTCGGCACGACACGAACCTGACGTACGCTCTGGCGGGGCATGGTTCTCCCTGGACGGGCACTGCAGAGGTTGCCCCGGTTGCCAGCTCTTGCTCCGTGGCCGCATCCACTGCCGAAGCTGGCCCGAGGCCTCCACCTTCCTGCCCAGCTGTGGGCATGCCCAGTCAGCCAGCCATCCCTCCCCTCCCCCCCGCGCCTCCCGCCCGCGCGTTCGTCGCCGTCTACTCGCTTCTCCCCCGCCTCTCTCTCTCTCTTTCTCTCCCGCGCGTTCTCGCTCTCGCTCTCTATCTCTCTCTCGTTCGCTCGGTTCCCTCTCTCTCTCTCTCTCTCTCCCTGTCTCTCTCTCTCTCTCTGTCTCACTGTCTCGGTCTCGCTCTCTCTCTCTCTCTCTCTCTCTCTCCCTGTCTCGCTCTCTCTCTCTCTCTCTCTCTCTCTCCCTGTCTCCCTCCCTGTCTCGCTCTCTCTGTCTCCCTCTCTCTCTCTCCCTCTCGCTCCCTCTCTCTGCCCCTCGCTCGCGAGCCGCCCCCCCGCGCCCCGAGAGGAACCGCCTCCGCGGACAGCACGTACTTCAACGGCGTCACGTCCTCGCAGACCCTCGGCACGGCGTCGAGGCAGCTGGCCAGCCCGCACGCCTCGCAGCAGGGCTTCCGGAAGGACGCGCGCCCCCCCCTGCCGAGGCGAGGAGGGCCATCGCGGGAGCAAGACGTCATGGCATCGAGGAGGAGGAGGAGGAGGAGGAGGAGGAGGAGGAGGAGGAGGAGGAGGAGGAGGAGGAGGAGGAGGAGGAGGAGGGAGGGAGGAGGAGGAGGAGGAGGAGGAGGAGGAGGAGGAGGAGGAGGAGGCGCGACCAGATCGAAACGAGTGCGCAGAGACGGCGGGCAGCAGAGGGCACGAGCAGGGAAAAGGGGCTAGGGCGCACAACACGACGACATAAAAACAGACAGCCGACGGCGGAGGCCGACTGCAGCAATGCACACGTCAGGGGAGGCGTGCAAGCAAAACACTGGCGGAGCACAGCGGGGCTCCGAGCGGAAGAGCACAGGATTGCCCAAGGCAGTCATGGCGCCAGGGCTGGCCGCAGGGACGTTACCCTGCAGTCAGCCACGGCGCGCCAGCACGAGGCGGAGACGTGGCAGCCCGAAGCGGTGAGCGCAGACGCGAGGGGCCCCCAACGGCATCCCCTAGCCTGCGACCACTACCTCGCACCACCCTTCCCCGCCAGACTGGCAGACGAGCAGCAGCGGCGGCAGCACTCGCACGGGAAAATACTCAGGCCGAGAACGTCCGACGCCTGGACGACATGTCCGCGAGAGGCTGCATGTCCCAATCGAAGGCGGGGTCGCAGTGCGCCTTGCAGTGGCCACGGCTATCACAGATGGCACACGGAATGAAGCCGTCCGCAATCTCCTCCCAGAGGTCGTCCAGGAAAGCCACGTTGCTGGAACGTACAAAATACCCAAAGCACCGCAGGAGGTGGGCGTCGGCACTCCTGGCACCGATCGGCGACGGAGCACCCCCATCGCCGCCAGAGGCGGTGGGGACGCCGCTGGCAACAGCCGCGGCAGCAGCCTGCTCGTTCTCCTTCACTTCAACCAACATCCTCAGACGGGTGATCTGGGCCGCCAGCTGCCGATAGCGGCTCTGGATGCCGAGGAGGGCGCCGGTGCGGTCCCGCAGGGCGGCGCCCTCGACCACTCGCCCGCAAGGCGCGGGGTCAGGAACGCCAACAACTCCAGGAGCGGCACGGCGGGATTGGACAGCACCAGCACCGGCTCCAGGAAGAGCACGACCAGGAACACCACCATCAGCACCAGGTGAGACGCCTCCCCCAAGGTCAGCGTGGGCATCACCAGGAACACGGCGAGCGTCACGGAGACCACCAGCACTATCATGAACTTGATCCCCACTGGACGCCCGAACATGGTGACCGCAACCGCGAGGGAGAAGGTCATCCCGAGGCCCAGCATCGGCACGGGGAAGGCGTATGGCGGCCAGGGAGTCCAGGGAGCCCTCCTCCAGGGAGTCCTCCACCAGGGAGTCCGTCGTGCCTCCGACCCGTTCGGAGACGAAAGGAGCGGCACAGGAACGAAGCACGGCGCGACCTCCAGGATGCCGATGACCGCCCACATCAGCGCGGAGGCCTCCAGGGATGTACACCGCCGCATGGCTGCGCAGTGGTGTGCTCGGAGCCGCCGCGGCCAGAAGGTGCCCAACCAGGGCAGCGCCAGCGGCAGCGGGCATGCAGGTCAGGGCTACGATCTCGGGGGCCACGGCCACGGCATCCTCGCGACCAGGAGTGGCAACCGGTGCGCCGTCGGCGCCGCCAGGAACTGCATCGCCAGGAGCGGGGCGCGCATGGCGGAGCAGCCCAAGCAAGCCGCACGCGCCTACCTGCGCGCGCCGCACCGCCACACACCTCGCGCGCGCGCGGCGGGCGGCCGCAGGGGTCGCACCCAGTGGGCGACACGGCTGCGGCGACATGGGAGATGCACCAGGGCCCGCACAGCGGGCGCCTGGCGACTGGGCTCGGGAGGCAAATCGGCCGAATCCAAAACGCTGGCGGCACAGCACCTATCCCGAGCCTAGGAGGAGGAGGAGGAGGAGGAGGAGGAGGAGGAGGAGGAGGAGGAGGGGGAGGAGGGAGGAGGGGGGGAGGAGGAGGAGGGGAGGAGGAGGAGGAGGAGGAGGAGGAGGAGGAGGACGCGTTCCTGGAGTCGTCTGGGGGTCTGGGGTGTCCCTGCGCCGGCGCCGGCCAGCAGGAAGGATGCGGGCAGGTTCGCGGCCCTGGGCTTGGACAGTTGTTTCAAGCGTCGTGCGGTGTTGGACCTTCGTTTTGAAGAGACAGCACCCCGCGTCCCACCTCCTCCTTCGCCTCCTCCTTCTCCTGCCCCCCCCCCGCCCCTCCTCCCTCCTCCCATCCGTGCCTCTGCCCTCCGCGCGTCTCTGTTTCGGCACAGCACTCACATGATTAGTGGCTCCATAGGGAGCTCCACGTCAGACCCCAGCGGCTGCGGTTGCATGCAGTTCCACCTCCCATCTCGGCGCACCCCTCACGGGCTTCGTGGCTCCATAGGGAGCTCCACCGAAGGCCCCAGTGGCTGCGGTTACATGCAGTTCCACCCCCCATCTCGGCACACCTCTCACAGGCTTTGTGGCTCCATAGGGAGCTCCACCGAAGGCTCAGTGGCTGGGTTCGCATGGCGGCCTCGCGCCCATTTCGGCACACCCCTTGCACGATTCGTGGCTCCATAGTGAGCACCGCCCAAGGCCCCAGTGGAAGCGTTCGCGTGGCGGCCCCGCGCTCATTTCGGCGCACCCCTCACACGTTTCATGCCCCAAACGAAGGGAGCTCCACCGAAGACGATACTGACAATTGCGTTACTTACAACTGCATCTGGTTTGGTGCCTCTCCCGGCTATGTAATATGTATATATATATTCATATATTTATACAGGCGTCTGTGTAGAAGAGAGAGGGAGAGAGAGTCCGAGATATATTATGTTGAGCCGCAGGAGGCCATTTCGGCCTCATGACGCCGTTTCCTCTGCCTATGGGTTCGACGTGTCTGCGTGTCTGGTGTGTGTGTGTGTGTGTGCGTGCGTGTGTGTGTGCGTGTGTGTACCCAGTGATTTGTCCCGTTTCTTACAACCGCCTCATGCCTCTTTTTCATTAATTTGTCCTCCCTCTTCCAATTCCGTTATTCTTCCCCAATGTGTTCCTCCTTCCCCCTTTCTCTTTTCTTCCTCAGTATTTTCCTTCTCGCTCCCCTTATTGTTAAGTATGCATGCCCGGCCTCTCTTGATTCTTCTCGGTCTCATCTTCCTGCTGCTTCTTCTCATCTGGCCATCCTCGTCGTCCTCCTCCTCCTCCTCCGTGCTCGCCTCCTCCTCGTCCTCCTCGTCCTCCTCGCTCCTCCCCCTCGTTCTCCTGGTTGCTCCTCTGTTCCGCCCCCTCGTCTGGTCATCGTGCCCGCCGCTTCGCCGGCAGGACATGTCCTCGCCGGGGCTCGCAGCGGCGGCGGAGGCCTCCGAGGCGGACTTCGAGGCGCGCCTCCAGGAGCATCCCCTCGAGTTCGGCTTGACTCGTGCACGCCCGAGGTAGGAGGAGGAGCAGCAGGAGGGGGGAAGAGAGGTGGTGGAGGAAGCCGTTCGGACGTCTTCGTCGTTTCCTGGAGGTGTTCCTGCCTCGGGATCCGTCCCCGCAGCTGCGCCTCGCCGAGAGCTTGCCGGCTGTGCCCGGGTCGTCCCGGACGGCCGTGGGGGACCCGAGGTATGACCCGAAAGCCAGTGGGCCACGTCAGGGGGGAGGATTGGGAGGGATGCAGGAGGAGATGTGAAGATCGGGTGCCGTTGAGTTAGAAGGAGCACGAGCACCAGGAGATGGAGGAGGACGAGGAGGAGGAGGAGGAGGGAAAAGGAAGATTAGGAGGACCAGTCTAAACCCAGGACGCATCAATGATGTTGTAATCAACCCTCCCTCTTCGGTCCCTCTTCAGAGGTCCATACCAGAACTGTTTCTCATTGCGGGAAGTGGCCCATTTGAAAACAAGCGTTTGAGAATCCTCAGTCGTGCCAAAACACTATTCCTGGGACTTCCGCCTCGGATCAACGTGACTGTTGTGTCCTGTCAGTCCTAAATTGTGCTTGAACACCATGCCTAGGACTTCAACCACGGGAATCAACTTATTTTGTACGTCCTGATATTCCTGCATCGTACCAGAACGCCATTCTTGTGATTTCAATCATTCGAATCCGTGAAACTAGCGCAAACGTCTAAGACGATTATGTGTGGCGCTGTAGCGATAGCAACGCCT